AAATTTAATTTGGCAAGATATTGTGGTGAGTTTTGTTAACTCGTTAAATTATGTTAAGTTAGATCCTAAACTTTGTTATCCTAATTTATTTTGTTGTTTTTGCAGTAATCACTTTGATATTGTTAACTCCGAACAAGTTAGGAGAAAAGTCATGTCATCTATTGCCAAAATGTGGAGGCAATTCAAGTCGACATTGACTTCAAAATGGATTTTTAATGACCAAGCCATTAGCAAAGGATTAACTCCTTGTCAGCGTTATGGCATAGATGAGGAAACTTGGAAGCAGCTTTGTCGAGTAGGACTGGTCCACAATGGGAGGTATGTTATTATTTAAAAACTTTGGTATGTTTCCATATTGTCTTATTAATTTAGCACATTGTAATATGATATTATGTTGCAGGAGAAGCGAATAAAAGGAAAGGAGATTCGGAGGTCGAATGTGGCCCCCACCGTCTGTCTCGTGGGGGTATGATTTGTTGACGCAACGCATGATGAAGGAGAAGGCTAAACTCCGAGAAGCCGAGTTAGCCTCTTCCGGTGTAAGCCAGGAAGAAATTTCCCCACCATCTCCTCCAAAACGTCATGAAAAATGGAAGAGGGCTCTGCAAAAGCCCTCCGGTGAAATGACATCAGAGGAGGCCCGCTTGATTGCCGAGCGGATTGTAAGTCAAATTAGTTTCTTTCAACCTCATTAACCATGCTTTGTCATTCATCAATTTTTTTTACAATATATAATGCTCAATTGTAGGATTCTTTAGAGGAGCAAGTATAAACAGGGAACATTCGTTCCCCGTGGTCGTGAAGATATATTAACTATCGCTATTGGACGCCCGTAACACCCGTGGCGTGTTCGTGCCGTTGGAGCCGGTGTGGGTATTCGAGCATATTTTGGAGCTCCATCATCGGACCATACCCACACAACATCATTGAGCCGCAGGAGATGGCCAGATTGGAGGAGAGTCTAACAGATGAAGCCGAGACCAGCCGATGGTTGAAGAGCCGACAGCGACGCCGACACCGGCCATTACCGCACGAGTTCGGGAGGAGATGATGCGTGTATTTGGTTCAAGTCTAGCATCCATAGGTGTCACACAGCCCTACCCACCCACCTATGGATGTTCCTCCTCCATCTCGCCGCACGAGTTAGCACTAAGGGTAGTTGTGCTGAGCCAAATACTCGTTGATCAAGACCTTCCCGCTACTAATCGAGAGGTTGTTGTTGTTGTTGCAGTACACCGACCACTCGTGTATGTGTGGATGATATCTTAATGACAAAAATTCATGTGCATATTAAATAATTAATGTCTTATTTTTGTGTAATCGAGTCGAGTGTGAATTTTATGTTGATGAGGATGGATCTCGAACCACGATTGGTGGCGGTTGGTTCAATTGAAGAGGGGGCCTCTACAATTCATAGTGTGCCTTTAGCACCTAACTTGGCCAAAGTGGTCATTGAAGAGGTTCGAGATGCTTATGCTCTTGTACCTGTGCCTACGTACGAGGTGATGACAAGTGGGACAGCCCTCCAGCACCTTCATTGCATGGCCTAGACATCTAATCAGGCCTATTTTGAAAAAGGTTTGCATATACTTTCGTTAATTATCATATGTAGTCCGGTACTGTTTTTTATTATTTCTCAAGTCAATGTTATTTTATGTAGGATGTTCGTAAGCCACCCCAGCTTGCCTAAACCGGTTCCTACTTCCCATACTAGTAAAGGTAAGGAAGTAGATGTCCCGTAAAAATCCAATTTTTCAACTACTATCTCGTTGTCCCACAGCTTGTATATTCAATCTTTTCAAGTGAAGTGGGATGTTGATAAGTTAGGGGTAGACAATAAGAACTTTCCCCTTTACATTGAGCACACCGATGTCGTGGAGATAGCAGCTTGGCAATCGTTGTCTAAACATAGCAGTTGTTACAATTTTGGACAATGTAAGTATTTATTTTTATTTACTAATTATGTTATTTGAAGTTATCGTCATATTTAATGTACATTGAACTGGCTACTTTAGGATGATGAATGAATTGTCGGAGGAGCAACGCACCCAAGATGTGTATGGATTTTTTGAGCCCCAATCCATACAAAAATCGTGAAACAAGAGAGAAGAAGTTCAAAGATACATCCAAAATTGGATGATGAAGTCAAGGAAGAAAGTTTACTTGGGTGCTTACCACCATCAGTAAGTATTTAAGCGTATGAAATTATTCGTATTAAATTTTATAGTGTATTGTATTATCCTAACTTTTTGTAATGTAAGCGTAAATCATTGGCAGCTTGTTGGTTGTTTGCCCAAAGCGTAATGTTGTGGCTTGGTTCTCGCTCACTCGGGCAAGAAACCTGATGCAGATCTTAAAAACATTGTAAACAGGTACACATTCTTATAATAATTTAAACAATTATTAATTGTTTTGTTACTTAATTGTTTCATTATATCTTGTATTGCACAAGTGCATTTAAGGTTTGCAATACAATTGATGGAGTACACACAAGCAAAAGCACGACTCAGCATTGGATTTTTGTTAATGTAAGTCCTTTTATATTTATGTATTATATCATTCATTTTATATGTCAAATTAATATATTATTTTTTGTAGTGTAATAGGCAACCAGGATCTTATGAGTGCGGATATTATGTTATGCAATCGGATGTGGCTGATTGTTGTTAGCAAGATTGAGGATACATGGAATCGGGTTTGCTTAAATTTAGTATTCAATAAAAGACCCAGTATTGTGTCATTGGATACTCGTTAAATTATCTTTTTTCTTGTAACATGTATTTTCAGACAGGGAAGCATTGCCCATAGAGACCATTGACGATATTAGAAACACATGGGCCGATAAGTTTGTTAAAGTTAGAAGTAGGCAAGTTTAGTTATTAATTTAGTACTTAGTTTAGTAGTTAGTTTAGTAGTTAGTTTAGTTGTTAGTTTAGTAGTTAGTTTAGTTACTTTACTAGTTAGTTTACTAGTTAGTTTATTAGTTAGATTAGTAGTTAGTGTATTTGGTAGATAAGTAGTTGGATACACAATAATTTTGGATACAATTTTATTTTTGGATGCACATTCAATTGTTTATATCTTGTACATTGTCTCGCCTGGGTTGTATTCAAATTTGCAGGTATGTATATATACAAACATTGGGTACCCCGTATAAACAAATCGTCCATTTAAAAAAAAATAGACTTTCTACGCTCGGCTCATACCATAACCGACGTAGTAAACCCGTATTCGCTTGAGCGACGACCGTACTCGCTGAGCGACGACAGCCTTCAAACAAAGGGGACTCTCGGGTTCCATCTCGCTTGAGCGAAGAGTGGACTCGCTTAAACGACGAAAGCTTCAAACAAAGGGGACTCTCGAGTTCCATCTCGCTTGAGCGACGAGTTTAATCGCTTAAGCGACGACAGCTTCAAACAAAGGGGACTCTCGGGTTCCATCTTGCTTGAGCGACGAGTGTACTCGCTTAAGCGACGAAAGCTTCAAACAAAGGGGTCTCTCGGTTCAATTTCGCTTGAGCGACAAGTGTACTCGCTTGAGCGACGAGTATACACTTTCAACGTCGCTTATGAATAACCGACGTTGAAGGCAAAACTTTCAACGTCGGGTATAGAGAACCGACGTTGAAAGTGTATACTTTCAACGTCGCTTGATACAATGTCGCTTGATACAACGTCGCTTGTATAACAGACGTTGAAAGCCTTATAGAACCGACGTTGAAAGGCATATACGTAGCAGTATATATATATATATATATATATATATATATATATATATATATATATATATATATATATATATATATATATATATATGGGTTTTGTCAAACAAAAATAAATCTTAATTAGTTGATATACTTAATTTGTTAATTTGAATTTTTTATTAGTATGATCTAATATATTTTTGGAGTTTTTAAAATTAAAGGTTGAGAAATTAAGATAAGGGAATGTAGTAGTAAATTTAATAACATTCTAAAATAAATTATTTAGATGGAAAAAATGACTTAGTTACATTTTTTTTTGTAGGGAGTTGATTAATAATTGATATTTACATGTGATTGAATGTATTGAATTAGATTTATTATATGAGAAAGATACGTATGAATTGTTAAGGTAGATATTATATATTTTATAAGAAAATGATATAATAAAATCTTAATATTTATAAACTAATTTAAAGTGTATTTTACGTAATTTGTTATTTGTATATTTCGTTTGAAAGACAAATTGTCTAAAATATGTCACATAAATTAATATGATCTAATAAATCTAAAATGATTTTGTGCAGTAATAATATATATGAAAATATATAAAAATGTAATTTTAGAATAAATTTAAGTTTATCGTATTTATTTTAAAATATTAACTTATCTGTGTATTATGTATGCTTTTTTTAACCACGATGATAATGTGTTTTACTATAAATAAATAATGCAAATTTTAAACATTGATTGAACTACGACAATAAATAATCAAATTTTAAATATTTTTGTTAATTTTATAGGATATTATGTAAAACATCCTCAATAAAGAGGTAGTATATATTTTAAAACTATCTTATTTGTATAAATTATATAAATATCTATTATAATTTTAGGAAATTAGAATATAATCATGGAAATTTCCACAAACTTTCAAATATCGTTTTAATATGTGGGTGAAAATGTAATTATTAATGAAAATATTAAAATAATTTGAAAACATTGCTTGTTAATATTTTTTTAACTTATTCAAAAAACAAAATGAGTATCTAAAAATGATTTTAACAAAATAATTATCAAATATTTTTAGTTTTAAAAAATAAAAAATATTTTTAAAAACTAGATAAATAAGTTTTAAGTAATTTTTCTTCTTTCAAAATAGTTATATAAGAAACGCATAACTAATATTTTATTTTGATTTAAAGAATATTCATTTAAAATTAATCAAATATTATTTATTTTCTATCTCTTTAAAACTCAATTCCTAAACATGTCTTCATATCAATACCATTTTTTTCAGGCACCACGATAGGCAGAAAGTTACAATTTAATTAAAATGTTAAAGAAAAAATATTTAATATATTTTCATATAGTTATTATATATAATACAACTAAAATATTATTTTTTATAGTAATTATTTTGAATTTTAAAAAGTACTAATTACTATTAATTCACAATGTATATTAGAAAGTCACGTTCCACGTGCATTGATCCAAGACAATGATTTGTTGCATATGCTTAAAATTTATGAAATGTAGGTATCAAATCAAATAATATTTCTCGTTCAAGAAAAAAAATGACATCAAATATGCACAATACCTATTTAAGTCCTTAAGTGTATTGGATAATTTATTTTTCAAATAATATAAGATGAGGAGAATATTATTTCTACCAAATAATATATTTATACATTCTTAATTATAATTGTGAGTCGGTTCAAATACATAAATACATAAGATTAGAAAAACAAAATATTTTTTTTTTAATAAAATAAAAAAATACACATATACATCCTTATATATATATATATATATATATATATATATATATATATATATATATATATATATATATATATATATATATATCCGTCACTCACTATGCATATGATAACAATTTTGCCATGACTCACTTCTTTCTCATTTAGTGTTAACATATTTTTTTAGTTTTCATATTTTTATTCACATGATTTTGGTCTTTATAAAAAATTTACTATGTATTTGTTTCTAACATTGAATAATTTTAATTTATTATTCATTTTATAAAAAAATATATTATTATATTTGTAAATAATTATGATATTCTTATCCATTTATGTCAGAATATTAATCCTATTTCTTTTATAAGAATAAGAATATCTCAATATCATATATATTATTCTATTATCGTTAGGGTCTATCATTACTTTCGATGTATTATTTGTTTTGAAACTCTAGTTCGCTACAGTTTTGTGTTTAAGAGACTTTTTACTCAATTAAGAAAGTTGTATATAAACTAACATTGATTTTGACTTTTCAATCATTTTTTCTTAACCCACCAAAATATTTTTTAAGAATAAAATAGTAATAGAATAGAGTCTTAAAACATATAATACTTAAAACGTGATAATAAACCCTAACAATATTATCATAGTGTAAACATAAGATTGAAATACTCTCTCTTTTTAAACGGAATATTGGTGTCTATCATAAAAGCTATAATAAAGACTTACTCTATTCTTACTTATCTATTAATTATGGACTTGAACTATTTTATAGTATATTTATAAATGAGTCAAAATCAATAATAATTTATATATACCTATCTTTCTCAACCTAAAGAAACGTTCTTAAACGATAGAATCGATATTATTTTAACTAATTCTTATTATATTTTATATTTTTAAATAAGATTTGGAGTGTTTTTAAAAAGAAAAATTCTTTTCGTAATAAATATTATCTCAACAATAAATTAATTATAATAAAAATTCACCGTTCAATTTATAAAAATCTGTCATTCATTTATTTGATTAAATTTCAATAAGAATAATTTTATATTTTAACATCTTCTCTTCTATTTCATATTTGTAAACTTATATTCAGAATAATTTATAATATTTTTATTATATTTCAAATTAATTTGTAATGTTTTTATTTATTGTTTGAAATGCTTATCAACTTTGTCAATACCAAGTATATTAATTAAACTAAAATTAATCAATGGAGGAATTGATGACGAAAAGTGTTATTTATGTTTTAGAAAAGTTAGGAAAAAAAAGTTATATGTAAGTTTGAAATTAATTAAAATAACTTAACAAAATAAATAAAAAATTAAAATGAACTACTATACTTAATAAACACTTCACATACACCCATCATATTTATATATAATCTTATTCATATTTTTAAATACATTTATAACTTCTTATCCAAATTTCTGTTTTTAATATAAAAATAATAAAATACAGACCATTCAAGTTCCTTTATCAATGTAATATGGAATCCCATAACAAATACAAGAAGAGTAAAGTAAAACCATACGCGATATAAATGCTGATATTTCATAATATCGCTGAAGATGTCAGGTATGACGTCATATTTGTTTTTCTTATTGGTATATGTTAGAAAAAAATAATATTTTATTGGATATCGACGTGGACCTACATTTTTAGGTTTAACCGTTTTTTTATTCATTTCCAATTTTTATATCTACGTGCTTTTATATTGTATTAGTTTTGTAACATAAAAAATATATTATATTTGTTCTACCACCTTTCCTTTAATTTATTTTTTTATTAATTCAAAAGATACTAAACAGTACAAAACTTGATAAAGAAAGATTATTCTAATGAAAAGTTTTTGCCAAAAAAAACCCATTTATTTGTAGATGAATCTATCGTCAATTGATAATAAAAAATATATATTCATCATAATTGTTTCCTATCTTAGTGATGTTAAAAAAAATGCACAATTATTAATATTATAAAAATAAATACTTTACATTTTTACTATAAAATTGTACAGTTATAGATTCATCTCCAATTTTTTTTTGTTTTTATATTAAAATGAGTAAATCAACGCATTTGTTTCTGTTGAATTTTTGGTAATGTAAAAAAATGTCAAATTTTACTGTATTGTATATTTTGATAAATAAAAAATTTTAAAAATATTATTTTACAAAATTATCTTTATTTAAGTAAATGTTTTTTATATGTTTATAGTTTTGATTATATATATATATATATATATATATATATATATATTAAATTTGTATTTTTTTACAAAATGTCGTAAATATCATAATCATTATAAAAATAAAAAAATATTTTATAATATAATTATATTTTATTAATTTAAGTTCAAAATCATTCCAAAATAAGATATTTTTTTATGTGAATGAGATGTTTTAATCTCATTATGTGCAGCCATTTTTCATGACAGTTTGTTTATGGTGGGTGCTATAATAACAGTAATACTTGTAATTATTATATTTAATATATATATATATATATATATATATATATATATATAATATGTTAGTCTCATTTTCTATTTAGTGGACCTCACCCATAGTTTTACATTTTTAGTAAATTTTAATTAATAAAAATATATTATAAAAAACATGTAAAATAGTGCATTATACTTGTGGAAGAAAAAATGATAATAATTTTTATTGTCAAAGATTGATAACAATGAATTTGTACCAATATTTTATATAAATTATCCAACCCTTTTATAGTGGACTAAATAATCAAGAAATTAAAATAAAATATTATTATCTTATAAAATAATGTTAGAGAAAATTTTATATAGTCTATTTCAATATTTAAATATGACTTATTTATCTGTTGATATTATATCTAATGAGAATTGATTCCAAACTAAATTTTAATATATATATTTCCTACATCTTAATGTCTTCTTGGTTAATTTAAAACATACCAAATTATATTAACACTTTTACATTAACTTTGTATGGAATATGTGATATAATAAATATTATATAACTTAAAATCTTAACCTATTTATAATACATTACTTGTGATAAGCATCCATTTAATTAATATAATGGATATATTATTAACCATAGTCAAGATCTTCTAAAAGTTAAAGTATGTGGAATCAAAATTTTCTCAGCATATATAAATTTATATATATGGATAACTTATGTTAACTTTTCATAAAATTTCATCACGCAAACATTATTTTATTTAAAAAAACAATTGAAAACTCTCTCTCTCTCTCTCTCTATATATATATATATATATAAAGTGTACATTATTTTTGCCCTAAGTAAACGGTATAATTTAATGACGAAAACCTTTAGGTTCAATGTATATAGTATTATGTGGCATGAAGTTAGCTGAATGCATGTTTGGTTGTTTCTGGAACCTACAATATTCTAGAGAATGCATGGACCTTCAACCACAAAGAGGTACTAAAAAGTAAGATATGTGGTCTTCAAATATTAAATAATTATTTTATTTTATTTTTAAATTGGTCTCTTCTTATTTGCAAAACTTTTTTTCTTTTTCTCTTTTCGAATTTCAAAACCATGTTAATCGCTATGTGAATCCATTCATTGAATATAGGTTTTCTTTTATCATTTTATGTAGGTTCATAACTTACAAAGTTCTAGAAAATGATAGCATATAAATTTAGCATTGGAAGCATAAGAGTTATAGAAGAATTCAAACCATGTTTGTCTTCAATGGGAAAGTCAAACCCAACCTCCTTCAATAATGTCAAACTTTAGTCCTCTCTCACAAAAATAATATTGTGTATACAAACAAAGGTTTTAATTATAGCCATGTGCACTATGTCCAAAAGAAGAAACTAAACTTTTTATTTTATAACAATATATTTGTATTCTCAAACTTTAACTATTCATTTCATTTTTTAACCCTAAAATAATTATATTTCTTTCTAATTAACTTCATGTTAAATTTATCAAATTTATATAAATAAAATATCTATAAAAACATAATTTATATATTCGTAGTACTTCATCTTTAATTTAGTGACCTCTTCAAATAAAAAAAAAAAACATGTTTCTAAATTTGTCTCCTCTTCAAATATTTTTTTTTATAATTAAAAATAATTAACATATCCAATTTCCATTGGTTGCTACACCGACAAACGAAGCCGAATATTTATAATACAATAAAAGCAACTATTTGGTAGGCAGCAAAAAGTTTAAGAAGGTAGATAAATAAAAAATTATCAGCTAATTATGTTTATGTTAACAGAACGAAATATTAATTTATTACTTTTTTTAATTTATAGAATATAACTATATTTACAAAATTCCTTGTGTTTTGTGATTTCTTTAAAGTAACATAATTATATAAACATATTTTAAATTACATTAAAAATTGGGATGTAGGTAGTAATTAAGATACTATAAATGGAATCTCGTGTCTAAATAAAAAGCTTGTGACATGCATAAATAATAACACAACCCTCTCATGGCTCAAAGTCAAAGTGATGGAATCTTTGAGTATATTTGGGGACATACTTTTATATTTATAATATGCTGCATCGGTGCTGTTAAATTTAAAACCGACCTACTGATGCATTAATAATATAATAAAAATAATAATATTTTAAATTATATATTTTTTAATTTAATTTTAATATATATAAATATTTTTCCTATCACCCCATTTTAATTCGTTGAATTAACATATTAAAATAAATTCGCAAAATATAGATAACTAATTGAATCTAATTTATTTTATATTTTTATATATAATATACAAACATTATTTTATTAACAGTTTTATAAAGTTGAATAATAAGATAGTTCAATAATACCTTATTATGATCTTTTACATTTGAGTTTGGTTCTTAATTTGGGCAAAAGAATAACATATCAATGATCATGGCACTCTACAGTTTCTATTTACTAATTAATTACACGTCATCATTTCACTTTCCTACAATCTAAAAGTTAGGCCTAACTTTGTTGGGAATAAATAACCCAAATCCAACACAAACTCCGCACAACATCATGAGTAAAAAACACTACATGTGTACGTGTCAGCATATTCTCACGCAGGTTCCTTCTGTTGGTTTCGTTTTTCTCTTCAACCCTATATTTATGCATAAAAAACCTACAAAGTCGTAGCTTTTGATCAAACAATAAAGCATGCCTTGCCGAAAGCTTCTCCTTTTATTAATGTCAGCAGAAAAAATAATAAAATTATATTCTGCGTGCCATTTCATGATTTCAATGTCTCTCATATTTTTATTTCATGCTTTCTTTCTTCAACTTTCTTCAACGCCAACTTTCCTCGATATTTGCATGTCATGCTTCACTTTGAACGTGTTAATGCCTCCGTCAGGTCAAGCGTGGAACTTGTAGATAGACATTAGATACCGATGCAAAAAGATATATCTTATCTTATGAATGGATATGGATACATCCTGATACAACATTTTAACACACGTTTATAATACATTTAATTTTATGTTTATTTAAATAACAATTCTGTAAACTCCACTTATAATCTACCCATGTTTGTGTAGAGTAATTCTGGAAATATAAGATAGATATAAAATAAACTTTTTTTTTTGGCTTCAAAAGATGAGAGAAGCGTGAGAAGATAGAAATGTGGGTGAAACTCATCATGGACTTTTTTATTTTTTAACATATTTTAATTAATAATGAAGTATGCATTAGAGATTCTATTTATTACAAATACTGACGTCATTCACTAAAATTTCAAATCCTACAATAACTTATTATTTTAATTTTAAAATAAATTATCTCTATATATATATATATATATATATATATATATATATTAAATTTAAAATATTATTTGTTTTGAAATTTTAATCTATTATTATTTTATTATTAAAATATATTTTAGTAATAAAACTCTCAATCCATAATTAACGAGTATATATAAATAAAGTGAAATTCTATCGTCTACCTACAATAGACATCGTTTCTATCTAAAATTAAAAATATTTCAACAACATGATAATGTTATTAAAGTTGATTTATTACATTCGATATATTGCTTCTTCTAAAATTTTAATCCACCACTAAAAAAATTAGATATAAATTACTTTCACCTTATTTAAGATAAATATTTTGTACCATGTTAATCATTTTTCAGTGCTGAACATTAATACGTGTTTGGTTTCGAGCTAATTTGTAATGTAGTTTCTTTATTTGTTCAATGTAATTTTAAGAAGGTAATATTATATTTTAAATATGATTATTTGCTTTTCAAATTCCCCAGGAGTGTTTGACAGTGTTCATATCAAATGTCAATAAAAGGCAGAACCGATTAGATTGTTTTGCTTTTACGTGTTTTCAAATGCATCATGATTCTTTGACAATTAATGTCAAAACAAAATGCAAAAACACTATTATGGATATATTTTTAGTGCTTGATTTAACTTGAAGTAGTTTAATCAAGTTATTATTGTGTGTCCAGTAAAAAAAAATAGTAAAGTAGAAAAAAAAAAACACGTTTTTATAGTGTCTATTCAACAGTGATACTATGATTTAACATATCATATCAAATTGACAGTAATAATTAAAATAACAAGGTACAGTAGATGAGATATGGCATTAGGTTGTGGAGAACTATGTTGAAGATATTAATGAAAACGATGCTTTAACTCCCGAAGTGGCTGGTTTTGTTCGTTTTGACCAGTGTCGCATATAAAGAAAATAAAATTGAGTGAACTTTTCCTATTAAAAATTGTGCGTTAATTATACTTCCTGTGAGAATTTTTTGTATAATACTCACTAATAAAAACCCACGTTTTATTTTTTAATTATTTGTGCTTAAAATGGAATATATGCTTCATTTTTTTGGTCACTAAAATTAAAGGTAGGCTTTACTAAGCGTGACACTTCACACAAATGTTGCTTTCACGTTTGATCGAGTTCAGATTCCCATCCACAGTCAAAGTTTATTTATTTTAATTTATTGATGAGGAGTCAATAAATAAATAAATAAATAAAACATTCGGAGTTTCAAATGCATGCTTTTCTCATTTTTTTTAAATTCTATTTTACTTGAATGAGGTGTCTCATTATATTTTTATTAAAAAAAAAATCTTGCATTTACACTTTATATATAATTTATTATTTTTGACGTACTTAGTTTTGACTTGTTCTATTATTATTTCTAACCTTAAATTAGTTTCTATATTATTTTTTTCGTTTTATTATGATTTTCAATTATGGAAAAGAAATTAAAACATATATTTGTATTGGATTGTCACAATGTTTATCTTAAAAATTATAAGGAAAATAAGATGTTGTATTTATTTGATTCTTATTCCTTGAAAATATTAAATTTATGCTTTTTATTTAAACAAAATACTTATTGTAAGTCAATTTTATATTTTTTATATAATTTTTACGTTTCTGTAATTTTGCTATTGTTTTTTTTTTTATCGATGAGAATATTAAAGAATTTTGGGCTCAGCCCGAATGTAACAAAGACGCTGGACCGGGCTGAAAAATGAATTGCATGCAAAATTAGTGAAAAGAGGGAATTGTTAAATACACATCCGGCTTTACGAAGTACACCCCCATATTCTAAAAACTTGTAAATTGAATTTTTACATATTTTAGAGTGGTGATATTTTGACAACCAAAAACCATACAACCCTTCAAACAACTCACTTTTATTAATATAATAATTTATAGAATGATTTAATAAAAATAAAAATAAAGTAAAACTATTATTATAATATTAAAAAAGAGTTGTTTATAGGAGATATATGGATTTGGGTTGTCAAAGTATCATTTTCTCATATTTTATAACAAACTCCATCATTATATTTTGTAAATTTATGTTTGAATTATTTGTGCATTTATCATTATAATTTCCAATTTTCATATCTATTTTATCAATTTGTAAACTTCTAACAGCAACATTTAAATTATTGTTTACTCTTTGACTATTATTGTTGAATATTTTATTAAAATCCGATGAATGTATAAATTATAAATTTATATTTAAATGTAATTTTTCTCATGAAGGGGAATGGATGAATGAAAGACCAAGCTTCTTGGTCGCTATGTATAATTAGGTTGATCATTCATAATTGTTATGATTAATTTATTCTATTTAATTATATAGATATATGTATATTAAAGTAATATTACATAATTTAACGATTATAATTATTACATAGCACGTGGTTATCAACGTGTTATCCACGCTATATATTTAATAATGTAACATTTAATATTTTCTAGATATTAAATTTTATTTATAACATGATTTATTAAATATATTATAACATTAACTTAAGTAATATTATTGAATATTACATTTATTATGGTAACGATCCAAAAATTTGTTATCATTATTATATACCTAGCTAACGAGTAAATTTGTAGTGATGGGATAAAAATAATACACATTTATTTATTTATTTATATAATAAAACTATCTTCCTTAATAACAAAATTAAAATATCAAATACATAAGTTAAATAATTATACTAATTTTTGTATTAAAATTTACTATATAAAATAACTTTACAAAATACATATAAATAAGAACAATTATTATTTATAAATCATCTATTTTTTTTATTTTAATTTATTTTTCTACGTTAACTCATATACCAGAATCTCTTTGTAGATATATATTTTTTTTAATTCAAAATGATCGATCTAATTTTTAAATTAACTTATTTATTATTATAATTTTTTTAAGAATATTTTTATATAATTAAATTCATATGTTAAATAATAATAATAAATCGTCTCCTTTTATATTAATTTATGCTTCCATATAAATAATACGAATGAAATAATTAAGTCACAAAATTAAGAAAATAAAATAAATTATAATATTTACATAATAATTTATTTTATAATTTACACAAACATAAAATATTTTATATAATTTCATATATATATATATATATATTAATTTCATCATGTCATATTTATTATAATTAAATATCCTTCAAAATATTAGTATAATGTCTCAAACTTAAAAGAGTGACATATATGTGACATTGAAACTGTATTATATCTTATATTTTTTTTATTATTAGTATTATTCTAACTTTTTCTAATTATAGGACATGTTATTATAAATTCTCTATCGACTCCTAATCAATACCTTAATATATTTTTACTTCTCAAATCAAATGGTTCCATATATTTTCTTATACGAGTGACATGTTATCGTAAAAGAATTAGAATCTTAATTTTTATTATTCATTTTATTTGTTATAATATAATAGTCAACATAAATTATAATTTTAGTCTATTAAATTATGAAAAAAATAGTAAGAATTTTCTACTCTTAATTATCTCTCTATATATTAAATTAATAGTTATAAACTTTTATATTAGAGTGATAGTTTTTTATCTTTTTTTTATTTATTTCAGTTTTGGTTTATGTATTTAAAAAACCAGTAGTTTTATTTTTATATTTTAATTACTTGATTTTTGTTCCTACTTAAAAAAAATGGATAATTTTTGGTTTATTATTGACTTATCATCTAATTTTTAACCAATATTATGACTTGTAAGTTCATATTAATGTAACAATTATTATCTATTATTAATCTTATAATAACTTGGCTACTCTTCTGAAGATATGTTTTTACTTTTAATTAAGTTCTTAAAGATATGTCTGATAAAAAGAAAATATAAAGGAAAAAAGATAAGTAAAAAGAAGAAGATAAAAATAGAATATACAGTAAAAAAAAGTTAATTGGTTAAAAATGAAATACAAATTATTTTTTGAAATATTCCAATTTATTATTAGTATTAGTTTATTTATTTTGTTATAATAATAGTAATAAAAATTACAAACTCTCGTAATAGATTAATTATAAAAGTATAAAATCACATAATACTCTCTCTATATATTTTTTTAAAAAGAGATGTAGGCCCCACCAATTTAAAAAAAATCGATTCTCTTTCCCACGTTTTGATTCTCCCGTTACAGTAACACTCGCTTTCTTCCTCCACCTGCCAAGCTTTCCCTTTCTCCTGTAACAAAATGGCGTTAAAGAAATCATTACCGAGAAAACAAACGCGGGAGTTAAAGAGTGAAGCTGAGCAAGTAATGTTGCATGCAATGTTGAAACGACAAATATGGCGTAACGCCGAAGCAAATGAAGAAAGCAGAAACCCCAAATTCCAACAAAACAAACCAAACCAAACCAAAACAGCATGCAACTCAACAAAACTCCCTCTCTCATTCATTTCTTCATTCACTCTTCTCTCCACTCTCAATCATGGCCATACACGCTTTCAAACTCCAGCTTCACAACTTCATCCGCTGCATGTGCGACGAAGTAAACACTCTCTCATCACTCACTCACTCACCGTTTCGATAACTAATCGCTGTGTTGCTGTCCCAATTCTCGCAGGGATTCGTCAACGAGCAATTCGTTCAACTTGAAGCGGCGAGGCAACATCCTTTGCGCCGCGACGCTCTCATCCGAGCGGTCATCGCCTACTTCCTCTCTTCCAAACACCTCTTTTCTGCTATTACTATCGAACTGTAACTATAATCGCGTAACTCTCTGTTTATTTTTATTTATTTATTTGTTTCTAATTTTACATGAATTTAGGTTTCTTAATAATTCCTTGGCTTTGTTCCTTGGTCTCGCTGTGACTCCTTTTCCTCGTGTGTAGTGACAAGCAGCAAGTTGATTTTGAAAGAGTTAATGCTCTTGCACGGGATTTCTATGCCAGATCATGCAGGTAATGATCGTGAGTAAGTGAATTTACTGAGTTTTGAGCTGGAGTGTATTTTGATAATTTCACTGAACAGGAGTGCTAACAGACTCTTTTGAATACATCCTTTATTATTGAATAAACTATCGATTTGGTTCCTTGAATTGACTTTCTTTGATAGTCTTCAAAATAAAGAAACAAGAGCTTATATCTCAACAACTCATGGAAACATATATTTTATTTAACAATCTATTCTATTAATGTAATAATCATAAAAAGAGTTTATGAAAATAAAAATAATTTAAAATTAATATTATATTATTAAAGGAAGTTGTTGAATAAATGTTTATTGAGTAGAGAGTGTTAAAAAATAATTTTTCTCTAGTAATTACAAAAGTAGCTTCTAAAGTACCAATATCCATTATTTTTCAGATGTTTTGCTGAAAATTTGTCATTTCTGTTTGGACTTTTTTGTTAATTTACTGTAGGTAATTTCTCTTCTAATATAATGTATGTCTGATTAGTTGTTTGATTTCCGTTTGATGTTTAACATCTCCAGAGCTCAACTTTCTTGTTTCCACAAGACATTCACTGTTCAAAAGCTCAAAAGAGATATTAAATGGTCATTTTGTGTACCAGCGCAGGGTGCCTTCTGTACCATTATGTAGTTGAGCTGTTTCCTAAGAGCTAAATTAAATGTATGGAATCAGATCTCTATAGTATTTTCATGCCTGTTGTTGATCATCTCTGGAGATTGCGGGATTTCAACAAAATATTACAAAGTTTAACTGTTGATGTGCTTTTTATTCACATCATTGGTAATTAGCTAAGTGTATAAACCTGAGCCTTATTTAATTATTTTTACTTTTAACTTTGAATGTAGTCTATGGCTTTGTGTGATCCATGTAACTCATTTCACCTGGTGGGACAAGACTTATTGTTATTGACATTTAGACTTTAGATATTAGTAATAAATTTCTGTTTTCCATTGTCATGGCAGTATTGGTGCAGAGAGTGTAAAACAAGCATGTGCTGAACTTATTCAAGCATCTGAGAGGAAAGATAAGGACAAGTAAGGAAACTCCTCCGTTGTGAATGTGTAGCTTATATTACATTGACATTAGACAAACTTATAGGTACTAGTAGATGAATGAGGACTAGTCTGCCTTTGTTGGATGCATGTTATACTTCCACCAAATTGTGTTCCAAACAATGAATTATGCGCATATATGTAGCATCTATTTTCTATATGGTCTTATTCATTATCATTTTATGTACTTTGTCTCTTCAGTACCTACAAAATATCATTCCATTTTGGATAGTTACTTATTATCTTGGCTTGAGTAGGTGAGAATGAATTTTTTTTTTTTTTTGAGACATTGGTTGGACCTCTTAAAAACAGCCCGGTGATAAAATAAGTCATCGGATTAATTTAAATGGAAGTATCTGGATCTTGCTTTATCAAAGAAAGAGTGCCTTATGAATTATTTACCGGAGCATAAGAGGTCATCAGTTGATTGATTAACTGCAAATTCTATTTTTAGAATGCATTGAAGATTTTTAGTCTGTTAAATATTTTTGTATTTTATTTTAGGAAAATATAGTCTTAATAATCTTACTAGACCCATGATGGAACACTATTAAAATAATGATAGCAGAGTATAAAATTAATGCGCACTGGCACTCAGAGTGGGAGATTGCATCATTGAACAATTTTTAATGTATACACTACAGAACTAAAGTATCATAGATTCATAGTAATCAATCATTTTGTTTTTTTCTCTTATTGTTAGACATCCTAGATTTTGTTCGATTCTACCTTTTTTAATTGTAAAGATTTACCCGTTTCTTGTGATGTTTCAGTTGCTCCCTCACTTTATATTGGACCAAGCACAGATTTTCTATTTTGAGGAGCAAGTTGGAAACCCTTGTGAAGGTACATCAATATCACTTTAGCTTTGGCTTCATTGATAGTTTAAGTGCAGTTTCTTTTTCCTCTGTCAGTAACTGTGGTTGTACCTGGGCTTTTTCTATGTGTAGTTAAACAATAATCTGTGGCAATTGATGAACTAAAACCTGTTTGACATTCTGAGTTTGGTGTTGATCATTGTTATTTTTTTGGTTTTTATTAAATTAAAATATGTGAAAGAGATTTTTTTTCTATTATTTCATGTGCCTCTTACAGATAATTATCATACACTGTCCTTTGTCTCCCTTTTTTATTAGTTGAATGCAACATCATTGTATCTGGAGACTTATGTACTGAACAACCTACCTTGATTTAGGCATTTGGAGAGGATGGTGGGAAAAGAGTGGTGGTAATCATCAGTTACCGCTCTTAAGATTGCATTTTCTTCTTTGTATTATTATCAATGTGCTAATGTTTTTATTTTTTGGGTTAATAATTTTAATTTATCATTTTCAATAAAGCTTTAGCAAATCAGCTTCAATTATGTTTTGGTTAATTCTATATGATAAATTTACAGAAAAGTGGTCCGAAAAGAAACTTTATCTGTTTCAGTTTATTAATTCTCTTCCTCTGTGTTAGTATTACATATTTGGTTATACAATTAGTGTTATAATTTCTGGTGGGTTTTGTGAGTTGGAGTTGGTGCAATGTTTCATATGTTGTGTATGTGTGAAGCTAGAGTATGTCTTTACATGAAAAATTGGAAGATTAAACCTAAAAGTTGTGGAAAAAGAAGTGTTGTTTACTTGGAAAGATATGAATACATTCATTGCATTTTCCATGTGAAGTGGAGAATACAGATTAATTTAGAAACATACTCCAATGATTTAATATTATTATCTTTCTGAGGTTGGTTGCTATATTTGTGCAAATTTTAGCAGGTGTTAAGAGATATTTCTCTTTATTTTGTTGTTTGTAGCTGTGTACAATTAATTATTAGTAATTTTCAGTTAAGTATATATATATATATATATATATATATATATATATATATATATATATATATATATATATATATATATATATTTTGCATCAGAGAATTACAATATATCTTTTACTGTTTGTACTTTTTCTTACTGTATCAATGTATCCTTGTTTTCTTTCTTTCAAAATGGTATCAAGAGCCATATGATCCATGGCTTCAGAAAATATTCCTCCTCCTTCCCCCTCCTCTGGTCACATTTTCTCATTACATTTCAGAGAAACTTGATGATAAGAATTTCCTGCTATGTCGTCAACAAGTTGAACCTATTATCAAGGCACATAGGTTGCATCGTTTTATCGTAGCTCCAAAATTCCTTTCTTGATTCTATTTGATCGAGATCGTGTGAAATCAGATTATCTTGTTTGGGAACAACAAGATCAAATGTTGTTAGCTTGGTTACAATAGTCTCTTTTTAGTAGAATTCTTGCTCGTGTTCTAGGTTGTCTTCACTCTTATGAAGTTTTGAAGAAGATTCTTTCATATTTCATCATCAAACTAGGACAAAATCCAGACAACTAAGGTCTGAGTCGCGTAATATTTCTCTGGATACTCGTTCTGTTGCTGAATATCTTACTCAAATTAAAACTTTTGTTGATTCTCTTCCATCCGTTGGTGATCCGATTTCTTTCAAAGAACATCTTTATTCAATTCTTGAAGGTTTATCTCAAGAATATGATTGTTGAGGGTCTTCTTGCTCATAAACTGCAGAAGCAAAAATATCGTAAAAGGACTGTTTCAATTTCCATTCTTTCTCCATCTTCAAATGTTGCCCAAACATCTATGCAGTTTCATTCTTTCTCCAATATTCATCATGTTCAGCCCACTTCAATAATACAAATTTATAAAATACTGAACTTCGTGGTTTCTTTAGAGGAAGAAGTGGTCTTTCTAATCGAGAAAGAGGACGCGGTGGTTGTAGCTCTACTCAGTGCCAAGTTTGCTTCATGTTTGGTCATATTCCTCTCATTTACTACAATCGTTTCAATCCTCAATTCCAACCATCTTAGAATACGTCTATGGTATGCACTTTCCTTTATTTCAAGGAAATGCTACACCTAGTTTTTCTAACCTGACCACAGCCATCCCCTCATTTTCAACAGCAACACCAACAGTGTCCATCACCACCAATCATTAATTCACAATAGTTTGTTCATTCCAAAAATCCACAAGTTATGATTGCTAATAATGATCAAGACAACTGACAAACTTGGGTTCCAGATTCTAGTGCTTCATATCATGTAGCTAATGCCTCTGAAAATATTCAACAAACTTCACCTTTTGAAGGTCCTGACCAGATTTTCATTGGTAATGGGACAAGGTTTATCAATCTGTTCCTCTAGTTCTTCTTTACTCTCTTCCTCATAAAATCTTAATTTTCTTAACAATCTTTTACATGTTCCTTCCATTACTAAAAATTTATATAGTGTTAGCAAATTTGCTCAAGATAACAATTTTTATTTTGAGTTTCATCCTAATCATTGTTTTGTTAAATCTCAGGCAACCAATAGAGTTCTGCTTCAAGGGTAGGTTGGATCAAATGGTCTTTATCAATTTCCTAATCTGCATATAGCCTCTCACACACAAGATCAGTCTACAAATGTTGCTACTCCTTATTTATATACTACTGTCTCGAATAAAACTATTAATTGCAGTGCATTTACATGATTTAAGATTAGGTCATCCCAATTTAAATGTTTTACGTCTTATTCTTCAATCTTGTAATATTCCTTTTCTTAATAAAGAACATATGCCATTTTGTTCTGCTTGCAGTATGGGGAAGTCTCATAGACTTCCCCCACAACGTTCTTCTACTGCCTATACATCACCTTTTGACCTTGTTTTCTGTGACTTATGGGGCCCTGCTCCTATTGTGCCTTCAAATAATTTTTCTTATTACATTTCCTTTGTTGATGCTTTTCAAGATTTACTTGAATATTTCTTTAAAAACAAAAGTATGATGCTTTGTCTATTTTTCAACAATTTCGTTCTATGGTTGAACTTCAATTTAATAAAAAAAAGATTAAAGTTGTTCAAATTGAATGGGGTTGTGAATTTTGTCCCTTTCATGAGTATCTTGTTTCTCTTGGTATTAATCACAAAATTATTTGTCTTCATATTCATCATAAAAATGGGACTATTGGAAAAAAGTACTGTCATAATGTTGGAATGGGTCTCACTCTTCTCAGCCTTTCTTCCTCTGAAATATTGGGATCATGCTTTCATTACTGCAGTTTATCTCATTAATAGATTACCATTTGCATCCTTGCATTTTCTGTACCATATACACAACTTTTTCAAACTTTATCAAATTATGGGTTCTTCAAGGCTTTCGGATGTGCATGTTTTCCTTTACTTAGACCTTACAATTCTCACAAAGTTTATTTCCATTCTCAAGAATTTATCTTTCTTGGATATTCAACATCCCACAAGGGCTATATGTGTTTGTCTCCTTCTGGCAGGTTATATATATATATATATATATATATATATATATATAAAGATGTGTTTTTTAACGAAACCAAATTTCCATATCTTGAACTCTTCTCCCCTCGTTTACAAACACCTACTTCTTCCCCACTTGTTTGATCTATTATTCCCACTATTTCTTCTTCCCACATAGCTGTAGATTCCATTGAGTTGTTGTCTACTGCACCATTGTCAACCTCTACTTCTCCTGCATCATGTTCATACAGTCTGTTACATCTTTATCTACTGAATCTTTGTCACCACTACATCTACTGATTTCATCATCCTCTTCTTTCCCATCTAATTCTTTAACCATTGCTCACTCTACAAATCCTTCAGCTTCTCGGCCTCTCAATACTCACCCAATGCAAACCAAATCAAAATTTGGTATTGTACAAACACGTATTCATCCTAGTATTTTTGTTGTAAATGTTGAACCTAAAACCACCAAACAAGTTCTTAATGATCCACTTGGTTCTCTGCTATGAAAGAAGAATTTTTTGCTTTACAATGCAGTGAAACTTTGACTCTTGTCCTTCTGCCTCCTCACAAAATTGCCATAGGATGCAAATGGGTTTTTAGGGTAAAAGAAAATCTGGATGCTACTTTACAACGATATAAAGCATGATTGGTTGCTAAGAGTTCTAATCAACAACCTAGATTTGATTTTACTGAGACATTTTCTCTTGTTATTAAACCTATCTCTATTCGAATTATTCTTACATTGACTCTTACTTACAAGTGGTCTATATTTTAGTTAGATGTTCATAATGTTTTCCTTAATGGTTTTCTCAAGGAAGAGATGTATATGGTTTAGCTACCAGGTTTTGAAGTTGTTGATGCATCTCTTGTTTGTCATCTTCATAAAGCAATTTATGGACTAAAACAAGTTTCACGTGCATGGTTTGATGTCTCAAAACAACATTATTGCAATTTGGTTTCAAAAACAGCAAGTGTGACCCTTCCTTATTTATCTATAATCAACAATCTTATGTTGTGTATTTGTTGGTATATGCTGATGATATCATTATCAAATGGAACTCTCATTCTTTTCTTCAAAGTCTTATTCAGAAGATGAATTCAATTTTTTCTCTCAAACAACTTGGTGATCTCGATTATTTTCTTGGTATAGAAGTTTGTCCTCAGTCCAATGGGTCTTTGCTTTTGACTCAAACTAAATACATAAAGGATCTTCTTTCCATGACTAACATGCTTGAGGCTAAGACAATCTCTTCTCCTATAATTTTAGGGTGTAAACTTTCTAAACAAAGTTCTGATTTATTGGTAGATCCTTCTTTTTACAACATATCAATGGTGGGAGCTCTTCAATATCTCATTACCACTCGCTCCAAAATGTTTTTTCTATTAATAAAGGCTATCAGTTTATGGTAACTCCTCTTGAATCTCATTGGATTGCTGTAAAATGAATACTTAGATATCTAAAAGGAACTCTTTACTGTGGTATACAAATTATTCCAACTATTGCTAATCAACCTATAATGATTAAAGTCTTGTGATTCAGACTGGGTTCTGGACCCAGATGATCGTTGGTTACCTTTGGTGTCGCAATTTTTCTTGGCCCCACTTTGGTTTCATGGTGGTCTCGTAAGCAAACCGTTGTTGCTAGATCTAGTACAAAGGCAGAATATAGAAGCCTTGCCTCTGCCACCACAGAACTTCTTTGGATTCAAACAATTGTGTTCCTGTTGTTTATTATGACAATCTGAGTGCAGTTAATCTCTCTCATAATCCCATCCTACATGCGAAGACAAAATATATGGAACTTGATATTTTCTTTGATTGAGAGAGTAATCGCTATACAACTTATTGTGAGATGATAGAAGTTCCACATCGTCTATCTCATATCATGTACTATGGTTTAAATACTTTATAGACTACTTTATATATTGTCAATTAATTTTATATTGGTTTATATATTGTGAATTAATTTTATATTGGAACCTTAACATGATATCAAAGCTTAACCCTAACTTCTTTTCGGTTGTTGTCTTTTACCAAAAGTTGCTCTTTTATTGTGAGTTAAAAGTATCTTTTGCCTGGTCCGGTATGTTTCATTGGAGGGAGCATGTTGGGAGCATGTTGAAAGTCCCACATCCTATCATGTTATATAGTTTAAATACCTGTTAGACTACCCTACATATTGTCAATTGATTTTATGTTAGAACCTTAACATTAGACATATCCTTGGTCATGATCAGTGGGCGGATATCCTTACTAAACCACTATCTCCTACAAGATTTCTTTTTCTCAGATCCAAGCTTGCAATGGTTGATCTACATAGTGTATCTCACCCACCTTGAGCTTGGGGGGGCGGGGTGTTAAGGAAATTTCTCTTTGCTATCTATTGTAATCTCTTTGTGTCAGAGATATTTCTGTTTTCTGTCAGTTGTAACTATGTACAACTAATTTTATATATATATATATATATATATATAAGCATCAGATAATTATAATATATTACTGCTTGTATTTTTTCTTACTGTATCAATACATCTTTCTTGTTTTCTTTCTTTCAATAATAGGAGAGCCATCCTTCTGTTAATATTTATATGCGCTATTTTCTCAGAGTTTTGTTCCTTCAAGTCAATGTATATCAGGATGCTAGTAGGAAATTTAAATCTTCTAATGTTCTAATTATTTTTTATCTGCAACTCCTAAACGCCACAGATGGAGAGGTGTATTATCGATCTTGAGAATATTCAGTGAGAAGAATGGATCACTTGTGATATCTACAGCTAAAGCATGTTTGGTTGAAATTTCTGATGCTATGCCTTGGTAATTTCAGTTGCTATTTTATATGCGTTGGACACAGATTTAGGTTCAGGATAATGTGATAGTCAATTTTAATGTAGCTATGAACTTGTTTATGTACATCCAATTCAGCTTCATATTATATGGTTTTATTATTTATGGGGTAAATCAGAGTGACCTACAAATAATACAATTTATGAATTATTTCAAATTTCCTTTTGAAGGTTTTATTTGGCCTTTCAGAGTTTTTCTCTTTTGTAATTTTCTTAATTACTTATAGGTTACCATTGGCATTGCATAATAATTCCTTGGTTACTCTCTGAAACTACTTTTAGTTGAAACTATTCTAATTCGAAAGGCTGTTGGAAGTCCTTAGTTTTTTTATTATTTTTTTGTTTCTTATTCTTAATTCCCTTTTGTTAATGCTAGACAGAAAGGTTCTGTTTTATAAACTGGTTTTAATAATATGAACTCACCGAGTACTATGTGTTCCAAACATGTTTGATCATCTCAAGAAAACATTGGATTATGCAATAACCCTTATTTATAATATTTGATATTTTTGGCGCTGGAAGGAATAACCTTGTATTGTTGCTTTATAATGGGTAATTTTGCCAAGATCCTAGATAGTAATTGATCTCCACTCCAGCTGTTAAGTTGACCTATGAAGCACGGACACGGATCCTACTTGAAGTGTTGTAATGTTGTTGAATAGATTTCCGACAAAACACTTGTCTGACATTTCTCATTAAGTGTCCAACCAAAAATAAAATGTTGGCCCAAATACTTTAGGCATCACCTCTATACAGTTTAGACAATTG